GGAGCAAGCAGCATTTTGCGTCAGGATGTGCAGTCCTGAAGTGCTCATTGTGCCAGGGGATTGGGCATCTGGCTAAGGACTGCAATGAAATCAGGTGCAACCTGTGCCTTAGGCTAGGCCACTCATATAGTCGTTGCCCTGAGGCACTCCATAACCAGCCGGAGCTAATAGACGAACTGTTGAGGTTGGAAGCGGAAGAGCTTAAAGAGGCCTCCAAGGCTCGGGACGATGCGGTGGCTGTAGCCGCTGCATCGGCGGAGGGATCATCTGTTGTTCTGATGTTGCTTCCCCTGTGTCTGCCTCTTCCCCAAGGTTGGGTCTGTTTCTGTGAGTGTGTCTTCCCCTGCCCAAGTGTTGTCTGTGTCTCCCTCTGTCCCTGTCCCTCCGGTTAGGAGGAAAAAAATTGGTGAGGCGGCTAAAAGGTGCTGGGCTTGTTGGGCAGGGTGTGCCCCCCTCTCCGGTTCTTCTTCCGCAGCGCCGCCGCAATGTCCCGGGGTGGCGGTGGAGGAGTCAGGAGGTGGGAGGGAGGCCTCAAACCCAGATGGGGGAACCCGGTGGAGAAAAGGGGGGGTGAAGAGTGGTCTGTAGTGGGAAAGGGTGGGAGAAATAGGACAGTAATTTCCCCCGCCACATCCCTTTCATCTCTGGAGGTGGATGATCTACCTTTAGAAAATAGGTTTGGGACTCTGTCTGGGGATGGGGAGGAGTTAGGGGACTCCCCTGCCCCGATGGAGGAGGAGGCTTCTTCTGGTGTGTCCCTGAAAAGGACCAATGCCCTCAGCTAAGAAGGGGAAAAAGAAGGCTAAGAAAACGCCTCTCTCAATTACCTTAATGGCAGTTCCCGCTCGATAAATGTGGCAACCATTAATGTTGCCAGCATAAAGTCTGTGAGTGCTAGAAGTGCGGCCTTATTTTTGCTCAGTGGTGTTTGTGCTGACATTTTGTTTTTGCAGGAGACCCGGCTTGAGTGCCTTGCCGATATCCACCCTGGCAAAGAGGGAGTGGAGGTGTGGTCCCTCCTTCTGGTCTCTTGCTGGCCGAGCCTTACAGCGGAGTTGCGGTGCTTTTTCCGGCATGGTAACGTGTCGGCGGGTCATTGAAGTGGAGGTCGGAAGATGCATGGTCTTGGACGTCCTTCGTGAAGGGGGCAGGAGCTGAGGCTCATTAATGTTTATGGCCGCAGTCAAAGTGGGGTAGGAAATGCCTCTTTACAAGGATTAAGCCTTTCCTTTTTACATCCCGGCAGGTTGTCTTTGGGAGGTGATTTCAACACCGTTACTAGGCCCAAAGACAGGAAAGGCTCCAATGACAGGCTGGGATATGACAGCATTTTTCTAAATGCGATAGTCAGGGAAGCAGGTCTGGAGGATGCCTTAATTAAGTGCAGCCCGGACAGCACAGGGTTCACATTTAGGCGAGGTAGAAGTGAGAGTAGAATAGACAGGTTTTTTTTAAAGGGGGACTCCGCTTCTCGGCAACTGTGTGTCAGGCAGTGGAATTCTCTGACCACCTTTTGCTAACTGTGTCTTTGAATGTTGCAGATACTCCACTGAAGGGGAGGGGTGTCTGGAGATTGAATTCGTCCCTGCTGGACGATGAGGAGGTGAGAAAATCCTTCGAGGATTTTTTCCAGGCTCAGGAGACCATCCTGGATTTCTGTGACAATAAGTCAGAATGGTGGGAGCTTACCAAGGTGCGGATTGGCAGGTTTTTCAAGGCCCTAGGTAAGAGGAAACAATTTGATAAATATGTTACCTACCAACGGTTGAGGAGGAAACTCGATCGCCTTGTCTCTGAGGGTGGAGATTCTGGGGCAATCTCAGAGGTTAAACTTCTCCTCAGAAAATATCAATATGATCGGCATGCCTCCTTGGTTCTGGAGAGGGACTATGGGAAATACCATTCACCTGACCCTTACCAGAATTGCAAGCAAGGTATAGCGGTTAAGATGATCACTGGTCTGAGAGACAGTACAGGTTCCCTGACAAAATCCAGGGCGGGAATCCTGGAGATCTCGAGGGCTTTTTTTAAGGATATTTTGGAGGAGAAGCACCTCGACCAGGCAAGGATGTTGAGTTTTCTTGGAGGTCTACGCCAGGTCTAGAAAATAATGTTCTGCCCGCGAATTTGACAGGTGAGATTACAGCTGCCGAGGTTGCCAAAGCCATAGATAGTCTGGCCATCAAGAAGACGCCTGGGCCGGATGGTTTGACAGCTGAATTTTTTAAGATCTTCAAGTCCAGCTTGGCACCCCCGTCTCGCGGAGGTCTTTAATAGCTGTCTTGATGAGGGCTCACTCCCTCCCTCCATGAGAGTTTCGGCTGTAATCTTGTTGTCAAAGGGTAAGGACCCTTCGGCGATTGAGAATTGGCGCCCATCAGCCTTCTCAACGTCGATAGAAAGATTTTGGCCAAGATTCTTTTCTGGCGCTTGTCGTCAGTGGCAGACGAGTTGCTTTCACAACATCAGCACTGTTCAGTCCAGGGCAGAAGTACGTTCTCAGTGGTGTTAGCTGTCCGGGAGGTTCTGGAGCGTTGCAGGGCTGATGGCAGTGGGAAGTATTTGCTGGCGCTGGATCAGGCTAAGGCGTTTGATCTGGTGGACCACGAGTACCTCTGGCGTCTCCTTGACCGGTATGGCCTGGAAGGGAGGTTCATTGGATGGCTAAAGACATTGTACAAAGGGGCAGAGAGCTTCATGCTGGTTAACGGTTGGGTTGGGCAGCCTTTCAGGGTAGGCTCAGGGGTGCGCCAGGGGTGTCCACTGAGCCCCTTGCTTTATGCTTTTGCCATCGACCCCTTTCATCAGGAGGCTAGATGGCGGGGTTTTGGCTGGGGTGCTGGTGGGCGCAACTGGTGAGCCGCCTTTGAAGGTTGTAGCCTATGCTGATGATGTGTCTGTTTTTATCTCTGGGGCTGAGGAGGCGCAGGTGGTGGTTTCGGAGATGGAGCAGTATGCGGAGGCATCAGGCTCCAAGATTAATCGTGACAAGTGTGAAGTTTTCTGGATGGGTAGGGATGGTGAGAACTTCTCACTTCCGGAAAGCCTTCCCAGTGCCCCAGTCGAAGATCAAAGTGTTAGGCATCACTTTTGGCCCTGATGATTATGGTAAAAAAAACTGGGAATCCAGGTTGTCTGATGCCGAGGTCAAGGTGAGATGCTGGAAGGGGGTGGCGGCTCTCCTTAAGGGAAAGGGTCGACCTAATTAAGACTTACTTGATTCCGGTCTTTTTGTACGTCAGTTATGTCTGTCTCTTGTCAGAGTCTCTCTACACAAAGGGTCTACAGCTGTTTTTTCCAGCTATTATGGGAAAACAGGCTGAACCTCGTGAAGCGAATGTGACCTATCGACCCAGGCGGGAGGGTGGCTTAGCAATGGTCAACCCGATCGTTTTCTTCTCTGTAATGTTCATTAAACATAATTTTGGTAACATGCTGAAAGAGAGGCCGCCTGCATGGGTAGGTTTATTTCTGATGTGGTTTAGACCTTTTCTGAACTGTTGGGAGAGTGGCGGGCCAGTGAAAAGCCTGAGAGTCAAGCACGGTAAGCTCCCGGCTTATGTTGCCCCGAGCTTGAAAATTCTTAGGCGGTGGGTGTGTGACAGCGGAGGAGGTCAGATCGCTTCCTGGGAGATCTCTCAGGGAGAGGGTCGTGGCCACCGTTTTTTCATGCACCTCTGGCCTTGAAGGATTGCCCAGGCCATAGTTTGCGGGAGGGTTTAAGATTGATAAACATGGAAAGGATTCCCTTGAAATTTAGAGACCAGGCCTGGCTTGCGTTCCATGGCAGGCTATATGTGAGGGGGAACTTGAAGTTCCGTTCTCTGGATGACCGCGGTTGTCCGAGGGCGGAGTGTGGGGGTGAAGTGGAATCTATGGACCATTTCTTGCTTCAGTGCCCCTTCAATATAGAGTGTGTACAAAGAGGTGGGGAGGGCTCTAGACATCCCGTTCCTTTCCCCCCTCGCACCGCATGTCTTATGCGGAGTGGGTATATGGGGCTTTTGAAAGACGTGTGGGGTTTGATTTTGACACTCTTTTTTTAGTTGGTCTAGTGGTCCGATATTTCACCTGGAACGCACGGTGTCAGGTCTCCCTTCGGCAGAAAGTCCTTCCTGTTTCGGTGGTGGTGTATGACATTCTTGGTGAGGTTGGGAAAATTCGGGGTCTTGAGAAAGACAGGCTGCGGCGAAGGGCCTGGATAGAGGCGTGGGAGGAATATCAGGTCTGTAGTCGCAGTCTGTTGATCTCTGGGTGTGGATTCTGTTCTTTCTTTCTTCCTGTGTGTTTTACTCCCCTAGATTTGTGAAGAAGAATTTTTAAGAGAGGCTTTATGCATCCGAAGATCTATGTTTCTTAGCCTTGGATTTATGTATTGTTACTGTTATAGTGTTATAGGTAGCGCCTGAAAGGCGCCAATATATCTATTTAGTATAAAGCCATAAAGGCCTTTTTTTTTGTTTTGAAATGTGTTTGCATTTCCTTTTATGATATGTTTTCTTTCATGGTGAAGTAACCTTGTGTAATTGTATTTAAGGCCGGATGTGTGGCCATGTGTTTATTTATTTATTTGTACTTTTATAAGAAAATGTATGCTGGTTGCAAGATTTTTTACAATAAAAAATCTCCCACTATTGCTGGCCAGTCCATTCCTGACAGTACCCCCCCCTCAAGGAGCGGCCTCAGGACGCTCCAAATAGTCCTAGCTGGGCAAAATGTTCCACCGCCCGGGTCTGGTAACTGGCGGGATATCAAAGACTGGCACTCCGGGCAGAGGCACACCGGGCTGGACTCCGGGCAGAGGCACACCGGGCTGGACTCCGGGCAGAGGCACACCGGGCTGGACTCCGGGCAGAGGCACACCGGGCTGGACTCCGGGCAGAGGCACACACCGGGCTGGACTCCGGGCAGAGGCACATCGGATTACCAGGTGAAGCAGCAGGCACCGGGCCCCCAGGCGGGGCGACAGGCACCGGGCCCCCCGGTGGGGCGACAGGCACCGGGCCCCCCGGCAGGCGCCGGGCCCCCAGGAGGGGCGACGGGCGCCGGGCCCCCAGGCGGAGCGGCGGGCGCCGGACCCCCAGGCGGAGCGGCGGGCGCCGGACCCCAGGCGGAGCGGCGGGGCGCCGGACCCCCAGTCGTCTGGCAAGACTGCGGGCACCGAGTCGTCTGGCAAGACTGCGGGCACCGAGTCGTCTGGCAAGACTGCGGGCACCGAGTCGTCTGGCAAGACTGCGGGCACCGAGTCGTCTGGCAAGACTGCGGGCACCGAGTCGCCTGGCAAGACTGCGGGCACCGAGTCGCCTGGCGGAAACAGCGGGCACCGAGTCGCCTGGCGGAACAGCGGGCACCGAGTCGCCTGGCGGAACAGCGGGCACCGAGTCGCCTGGCGGAACAGCGGGCACCGAGTCGCCTGGCAAGACTGCGGGCACCGAGTCAACTGGCGGAACAGCGGGCACCGTGCGGGCACCGAGTCCTCTGGCTTGACAGCGGGCATCGGGTCACCAGGTATGACAGCGGGCACTGGGTCACCAGGCATCAGGTCATTTGGCTCGCCAGCGGGCACCGCGTCATCTGGCAAGGCAGTGGGCACCGAGTCACCAGGTACGACAGCGGGCTCTGAGTCAATTGGCACGACAGCGGGCACCGGATCATCTGGATCAACAGCGGGCATCGAGTCAACTGGCCTAATAGGATCATCAGGCTGGATCAGTTCATTATGCTGGGTAGAGGCATCCGGCTGAGGGGAGGCATCCGGCTGAGGGGAGGCATCCGGCTGAGGGGAGGCATCCGGCTGAGGGGAGGCATCCGGCTGAGGGGAGGCATCCGGCTGAGGGGAGGCATCCGGCTGAGGGGAGGCATCCGGCTGAGGGGAGGCATCCGGCTGAGGGGAGGCTTCCGGCTGAAGAGAGGCTACAGGCTGAAGAGAGGCTACAGGCTGAAGAGAGGCTACAGGCTGAAGAGAGGCTACAGGCTTGAGTACAGGCATCAGGCTTGAGTACAGGCATCAGGCTTGAGTACAGGCATCAGGCTTGAGTACAGGCATCAGGCTTGAGTACAGGCATCAGGCTTGAGTACAGGCATCAGGCTTGAGTACAGGCATCAGGCTTGAGTACAGGCATCAGGCTGAAGAGAGGCATCAGGCTGAACCACAGAAGGCAGGTTCTCAGACGGTAGGCTCACCGGTTTGGATACTGGCAGGATGGTATTGGTTGGAAAGAATTTTCGCTTTTTTCTGGTTTTAACTACTGGGGCACTGCAAGTAAACGCAGGTCTGCAAATGAATGGAGCAGCTGGAGACAGAGAAGAGCTGGAGGATGGAACAGGGGAAGGAACAGTCGCTACAGAGGGCTTCTTTACAGGGTTAAAGGCAGGATAGGTGCAGCGAGTGGGAACAGGGTACTGACATGCGGTAGATAGCCAAGTATACTGGGCTGTAACTGGAGGAGCTGTTGGGAATACAGGAGTAGAGCTTTGAGGAGATAGATTAGAAGCAGGACTGGGTCTTTGTAAGCTGACTGAGGCTGGGTGCAACAAATCTGTCCATGTCTGCAGTATGGGTTGAACAAAGCTGAGCTTACACAAAGCCTGTCTGACCAAAGACTGCACTGCGTTTATACAATCTCTTAGTACCTGTGGTGAACATGTGGAATAACGCTCCAGAAAGTAACCCACATCATCCTCTAATAACCATACCAGGGACTCTACCTGGTCTGCACTAAATGGTGGCAAAAATTCATCCCTGCATTCGGGGGAACCAGATGAAACCAACTCAGCACAAACCTCAATCAATGGCTGCACCTCAGAGAACTCTGTGCCCTGATCTACTAGAACATGAGCGAGCCGTATACATTCTAGCAGTTCATCCCGGGTATACTCCTTCAGAGTTTGATAAGCATACTCCCTGTCATCAAACACTAGCAGATATAAATATGCAACCTCATCCAGATCCATCCTTCCCATCAACAAACCAAGATGGCTTCCCTGTGCAGCCACTTCTGGTCAGGATTGGCCTTGGTGTAATGTCAGGGCTCCCGGGTATGACCAGAGGTGTGTGACTGACGCAGGGAAACGCAGACTTCCGATAAGTTATAAACAATTTATTAACACTAACAATACAAACATAAACGCAATGCAATACTAAAACATAACACAGTGCAAACGAACCAAACCAAACCACCCACAGATAACAGTACATACAGTGCAAGCGTCGTCAGGCAGGCCGGGTCAATATCAATCGGGCAGGTAGGTACAGGGAGAGCAAGCGGAGAATAGTCAGGTCACGAGCAGGGTACAGCAACTAACAGGCAGGTAGGTACAGGGGGTCAGGCAGAGAATGGTCGGGGTCACAAGCCAGGGATCAGAACAGGAGAAGTCAGCAGAGGTCAGAATCAAGCCGGGTCAGCAACAAGACAGGAACAGGAGCAGGATGCAGGAACAAGATACAGGGCCCAGGAAAAACACAACACCAAGGCAGAGTCTGCAGGTCTGAATGTCCCTTAAATACACCAGTATAATTAGTTCCAGGTGTTTGACTGGCTGCAAGGTTGAGTCTCTGATTGCTGGGAGCACCCGCTGGCCAGCCCTGGTACTGCAGCTCACAAGGCAGGTGAGTCCCACTATTGCTGGCCAGTCCATTCCTGACACTTAGACTTCACTGGCCCACCATTCTTCCAGCTCAGTAGAAAAGGCCTAAACCAGGATTGAAAAATACCAAGTTGACCATACCCAGGCCAGCCATCAGCCTGGGAAAGTAAGTTACAGACCTCTTAATGAGGTTCAGTCTGTACCCCCGTAACAGCTGGAAGAAACAGTTGTAGATCTTCGCATAGGCAGAAAAAACACATACAAAGCTGACATACAGGAATCAGGTAAGTTTTAATCCAGTAAATCCTTTCTCTGTAAGAAAGTTTCCAATCCTTCCAGCTGGCAACCTTGACATTAGCATCCTGTAGCCTGCTTACCCAATTTGCAAGGCTGTAATCGCTGGGTCCAAATTTGATGCCTAAAACTTTAATTTCCTGTTGGGGCTCTGGGAAGATGTCTGGAAGCTCAAAGCCTTCCTCTCCCATCCAGAAAACCTCACTCTTATCCTCACTGATCTTTGAGCCAGATGCCTCTGCATACTGCCCCATCACTGAGACCACCTCTTCTGCCTCCTCTGTCCCAGAGATGAAAACAGACATATCATCAGCATAGACAACTCTCAAAGGAAGCTCACCAGGAATGCCTAAAGGCACTCCACAGAACGATCCACTCTCTAACCTCCTCTAACCACCTAATGAAGGAATCAATTGTGAACACATATACTCCTTTAGAATGTATTAGCCTCATGTGACAACCTGTTAGGTGTCGTCATATTTATTTATGTCCATCCGCATTGTCCTCTTTGGAAACTCTGAAGAGGGCTGTTTCGCTTGGGAAGTCTATGCAGCTTCTCATTGCCAGAGCAGATAACCCTTTCAAAGGGTGAGTGGAAACCACTCCTTTAGAGTGTATTAACATTGTGTTTGTTGAAAGTGATATCCTGTTATGTCTCATCATTTCTATCCTTGGCTTCTTAAACTATCAGGATACATACAGTCATGCTCATCCACATCTTCCTCTTTATAGAGTCTGAAGAGGGCTGTTTTGCTTGGGAAGGCTATGAGACTGGTCATTGCCAGAACATAAAACCCTCTCACAGGGTGAGTGGAAACAACTCCTTTTCAGTGTATTGTCCACTTGTTTAATGAATTCAACAACCTGTTGGTGTCATCATCCTCATTCCTGGTTGCTTGAACAAAGCAAGAATCATACAGTCATGTTCATCCACATCTTTCCCTTTGGAGAGTCTGAAGAGGCTGTTTTGCTGGGTAAGGCTATGAGACTGCCATTGCTAGAGCATATAAGCCCATCACAGGGTGAGTGGAAACACTCCTTTTGAGTGTATTGGTCATGTGTTTAATGAAGGTAACAACCTGTTAGGTGCCATCATCCTCATTTTTGGTTGCTTTAACAACTGAAGAGGGCTGTTTTGCTTGAGAAAGCTCTGAGACTGCTCATTGCCAGAATAGATAAACCATTCACATGGTTTTGCCTGCTGCTTAACAAAGCAGCTGAAGAAATAATTGAATTTAGTAGAAAATAGCTTGCTTAGTATCAAAACCTAAAGGGTTAACTACTGCTGGAGGGAGGTTGATACTGCAGCTTCCAACCACAGCCCTAAGATTCACCAGGTGTTAATGAACCAAACCTTGCTCTTCCAAGGAGCAGGTCATGATGAACATTTTTTTTTTCAGAAGAGCAACAAACAGTAGGAAGCTTTAATAGAATTACAATAATATTCTGCAATGTACACAAATCATCCAAGGGAATTGTTTGCATCATAAAGACCTTCTCTTTTTTTTGGCAGAGATGCTGGAGAGCACAAACAAATATAAAAGTATGTCCTGTACTCCAACAGGCAAGTGCTGGCTACATTAGTCATCCACAGGCGACTCCTGTACCTTCTCTGAGAATGCTGATCTTTTGAGCAGGTTGGTATATAGGCACAATAATAAAACAAACATGAGAAGCCACCAATGGGTTAATGCCATTTGTAAACAGACAAAGTATTACTTTGTCATGCAGAGTACTACCTCTGGAGGATCTCAGTGGGTGCACAGCGGCTGCAGGGAACAAGGAACAACAATATCTAGCAATGAAGCATTCATTTGAATACAAAGCATTTTTAAATTTAGCTCACCCATCTGACAGCAAACACTGGCACTGCGCGGTCATGTGTGCCTAGGGAAGACTCTGCTGACAGTGTAGCCCACTTCACATAGATCCAGGCAAGGCTGGTAGCCATGATAAAAGCCGCCCCAAGGACCAGTAGCGAGGCTCCCTGTGTGGCAGCACCCAAATATTGTAGAGTTCCCCTTAAGTTTTAACATTTCTAACAGTATCTGTTTGCAAAACAAGGTCATCAACTCACTTCCCCCATCCCTTATTTCCTGTGAAATAATGTTTTCCAGTCTGTAGCTGGAACCCTTATTTTCAGCTGAAGATAATTTATCTAGCAAGGCCATATTCTGCATTGCTTAGAAAGTCTTTTAAATGTACAGTGAAAAATGAAATATATGAATTGTGACATTGCTGATATGTATAGCCTGTAAGATGCTTTTTCAAGGCACTTAGCTTTGCAGACGTTAGTCTGGCTAGGTCACCAGCTGGTTAATAAAGTTTCTTTTCCTCATGTTCGTGTCCGGAGTTATACTTAGAATTTCCAAAGTTGCCATTACACGTGGATTACGGATCATTTAGCTGGTACGCCAGGGACCTCATCCAGCTGAAACCCAATTCTCATGGAAGGACAGACAGCCAGGTAGAGGAGGACGCCTAGGTCCTGCACATGGGAAGAAAAAAAAGAGGACCATCAAGGCTGCAGGTGGGCTCAAATGTAGGAGTTAGCTCCTGGACGCATGGGGGCCAGGGCCCTTACCCAACTGTGCTGGCATGGAGCTCCTCAAGAAATAATGGGTATAACCTGTAGGTCAGATGGAGCCAAGATAGGTATGAGAATTTGAGAGGTTATGGCTGATGACATCTATGCTCCAAATAAACATTGAAGAGTACAGTTCTAATTGTACAACAAAACTTTGTGATAACTCTAAATGACAAATGTAATGATAGTTCAAAATGTTTGGTCACAAATCCCAAAGGTCTGGCAAGCAAACTTGAAATGTCTGAAATATTTATGTTTTAATTTATTGGTTTTGCAGAAATTTATTGTAGGTTAATATTTTACATGATTGGTATGTTCATTTATGTGGCTGCACTTTCTTTCAGAGAAACAGGGTATATATGAAAAGTGGTGTCTCCATGTGAAAGGCATTGTGAGTAGAACTG